GGAAAAGATATTCCTTAAAATAGGGACCCCACAGTCTGCGCCAATTATTGTAGGATAAGTCTCTTTAGTATCTCATAAAAGGTCCTGTCGAGAGTATTGAGTGAAAGACCAAAACCCACCGTCAACACACTAAATGGCCCTTATCAATGGGGCTTCAGACCAGGGAAATCCACCATTGGCCATATATTAAACATACGCCACATCTTGGAAAAGACCCGTGAAAAGAGGATCGACACACATCATCTCTTCGTCGATTTTGAAGCCACCTTCGACAGCACGAATAAGAGCTGCCTTTCCGCCGCTATGCTTAGATTTAGAATTACCAAAAAACTTATAAGGCCTTGTAAATTGACGTTAAGAAACATTTAAAGCTTGGTCAGGATCGGGAAGTGGGGTGCCGCTTCATACCAAACTAGGTTTCAGACAAGGTGACTCGTTATCGTGTGACTTCTTTAGTTAGTTAGCTGCAGAGAATACTAAGAGTGGCAGAGTTGAAGAAAGAGGGTACAATATTCTTAAACCGTGTGCAACTATCGTCGGATAAAGAAGCGAAGCGAATGGGTCTGGTACTGAACGAGGACAAGGCAAAATATCTCCTTGCTGGTTCCTGCCGTACTATATGGTGCAGAGGCACGAACGATGACAACATCTGATAAGTCGGCACTATGAGTCTTCGAGAGAGAGGTTTTGCGTAAAATTTATGGTCCTAAACGACTTGGTAGCGGCGAATACAGCAGCCAATGGAATTATGATGTATGAGATATACGGCGACATGGACATAGTTCAGCGAATCAAGAAACAGCGGTGCAAGTGCGGAATTGTGGAGCTGAGTAAGGAAGATGCTACCTTCTGTAAGAGTTCAATGCAGTTGAAAACCTATTCTACGCCTTTCGATTAAAGCTCATCATGCAACTCGCAACACCCGAACACATCTAAAAATCACCGAACCTCACCAGTTATGGCAATGAAATTCTTGGCGATGTTATTATTCTGGAGACCCTTCTTCGGTTCAAGAAGTTCCTAATCACTAATAACCAAGAGTTGACAGATCGTAAGCTACCTCGAGATGAATAGCACGCACTTTAAAACACGTAAATAAATCCCATCGCTTCTCAGTTCTTCGGCTGATCCCCACAGTTTCGGTGAGAGACCCGAGTGACCTTGGCTCACATTAGGTCTAGATACTGGCAGGCTAAGTTCCTCTTAGCTCAGCTCAGAGATCGTCAAATTTTATTCTATTGAAAACCGGAATCATGGCAGTAGAACAGCATTTGTATGCGTTCATATTGAGCTCTGTACCACTTATAAAATCTTCGTTCCAACGTTCGTTCTGTGCGGTTGTCTAAATCTTTGTTTCTGATTTCTATTAAGTACTATGTCTGAGTTCGGTGTCCTCGGCAAATTTATATGACTGTGTAAACTGCAAAGCTTCGTCAGGATCGGGAGGCAACTCTTCGAACCACCAAACGAGGTTTCAGGCAGGGTGGTTCGTGTGACACCGGCGATATTGACATTATAAGCATTAACAACTATCACGACACCGGGACTTTGGTATTAACATGCATATTCGAGCAAGTTAGTTTACCAGTTTTTCACTCCCAGAGCGTAAGCGGTCGTGAGTTTACTGGCTTTCCCACTTTCACCTCTTTAATCGTATGAAACAGTAGCTCCTTCAAAACCTGGACCACCTGCGTTTTAAGTCCCCGCCCTCAGACGGATTTTCAATGCAGTTGAAAACCTATTCTACGCCTTTCGATGTCAGCTCATCATGCAACACGCAACACTCGAACACATATAAAAAAACGCCGAACCTCACCGATTATGCCAATGAAATTCTTGGCGATGTTATTATTCTGGAGACCCTTCTTCGGTTCAAGAAGGTCCTAATCACTAATGAACAAGAGTTGACAGATCGTAAACCACCTCGAAATGAATAGCGTTCGCTGGATAATACTATTACGCCATAGAAATCTCTGGGCATACTTGTTTCAGTACGGATTAAAACTTGATGGAAACTCTCTAGTACGTCTGCATAAATAGTCCCGGCGCCCACGCGAAGTTGGAGTAACACGGACACCAACGAAAATATTACAGTTGAGAACTTAGCATACTCCATGTGACGTTGCTGCAGCGTCAGCCACAAATCTCAACTTTTCTTGCCCGCATGACACTAACCACCTCTTCACATGCCCTCTCAAACCAACTCATCAGACCCCCCTCTCCCATTGGTCCAGCACCTTCGAAACTGCTCGTTTCATGGACCTCCCATTAGATGATCTCGACCGCTTAGATTGATCAAACCTATGCCTAAGCAGAGTTAGCGAACGGCTACAACAAAACTCGAAACAATGAATTGCAGGAAGCCTGGGCAGAGAATTTTAGAACGGCTTTATTCGGCCTTTTATTTCTGGATGGGATGCATAAAGCATTATCTAGCGGATTTGGATGATTTCTCAGCTTTGTGAAGTACTTCGTCCTGCTTCTTTCAATTTCAGGCTTAACCAGTAAAATAAAAAGGTATTAATGAATATTTACGTTACGAAAGTACCATGGTGCGCGCGTTAGTGCTCTTTAAATTTTGGACTGGAACCTCTGTATTTTATCAATATTAGTTGCACAGGTCGAACCACACAGCTGAATACCGTACATCCAAACTGGTTTTAATACTGCGTTGTAAATAAGGAATTTGTAGTCTAGGTTTAGATCGGAGTCTTTCTTTAAAAGCCAATGCTTTTAATTTCATGTGTACTATTTTTGCCTATATGTGTCTCAAGTGAGACGTCTATCTAAGTGTACACCGAGATATGTTACATCATTTTCTTGGGGAATGTTTATACCATTATTATATAAGAAGCCGCCTGTGTGTGGTCTTTGCCTGGTTTGGGTATCATTAATATCTGCGACTTTTTCCACGCGTTTGGAAAGTAATTTAGTTTTAGAATGGCATTAAAGAGTTCAGAGAGCAATGCTTGTGCAACTCTTGGTAGCTCTATTAGCATTTTTGGTGTAATGAGGTCGTGGCCTGGAGATTTCTTTGGATTCAGTTTCTATATCGCGTTAACTACTTCTAGGCTTGATATTTTAATTACCACTTGATTTTTCTGGGCGTTAACAGCAAATTCCGGCAAAATAAAATTATTAGTTGCGTCATTAGTCAGGAATACATTACTTAAATGCTTTGCAAAGCAATTTGTCTTTTTTTTCGTTACTACGTGTGCAGTTACTATTTGGGTCCCTGAATGGCATTTCATTTCTTTTGTGCTTTCCAGAGTGAGTATTTTTTGGCAGAATTTGGCGCTGGTATTTCTATGTATGCCCTGGCATTGTGATCTTCTGCTTGTTTTAGAGCACTTTTCAGCTTCCTCTTGCTGCCGTCACCCGTAACTTTGATGCTGGAGAGCGATATTCTCACCATTCTCTCCGCAAACGCCGCTTATTTTTTACTAATTCTTCTATTTCTGTATTTGTTAGGATTTTTGGTCACGTAGCAGGCTTTTTACTTTTTGGAGTTGCTATGGTTGCCGCAGAAACAAGGTCATTATTGAGCTCACTAATGTAGTCATCAATATCGTTTTCACAATTCAATATTGGGTTGATGTTAATTACTAGTATTTTTTTGTATTTTAGCCAGTTGGTTTCTTTGTTTGTTAGTCTTGATTCTTGTGCAACTATGTTCGGGCGCTCGTAAATTTTTAGAACTGGTGAGTGGTCTGAAGACAACTCAGCAACTGTCACAGCTGATACATGTTGCCTTTCGATTTTTCTTGAGACAGCAAAGTCTATTGAGTAAGGTATTTTCTTCCGATCGGTAGGCCAGTATGTTGGTTGACCTGGGGAAACACAGTCTAAATTGTGCCAATTCTAATTTATATTGGTTCACACCATTTACATTCCATAAACAAATGTTTAGTACGCTCATTTTTTTTTTTGCATGAAGATTTGCAGAATGATATTCTGGGCTTTAATTTAATCAAGTCTTGGATCATGCTTTGCACAGTTGACATGAACTGTGTCATGCACTGCGTAAGGTTTGAAATCATCGATTCTATACCTTCATTAGATTGGTTCTATGAAATATTATCTGAATTATTCTTCAGTACAATCGCATTTGATAATTTATTTGGATTCATATTTTGCACGCTTGGAACAGTTGTATCCGTAGCTTTTTCTTCAAATTGTATTTAAGGAGTATTTACATCTGACTTCGGCGTGTCGGAATATTGTTTGCCAACCTAACTTTTAGATCTTTAATCAAAGAAGAATGATGCCACATTGAAAAAACATAGTAAATGTGGAGGTAATCATGCTGCCAATTATAAGGGCTGTCATGTATCCCCTATAATTGGCGGTGTGATTAGCTCCACATTTACTACATTTTTTCATTGTTAGTAGGAAGTAAGGAAGCGAAGCGTGTGGGTTTGGTAGTTTACGAGGGTAAGACAATATCTCTCCCGCCATCAAATAAACAGTTATCGCATTCGCAACTGTACTCTCACGTTGTAGATAATTTCTTCTATCTTGGTAGCCGTACACAAGTGCAATTTTGAATAGAGTATGGGCAATCGAATAGTTAATTCCTCTCTCGACGAACACATGCCAAACTCTACAAGTCGTTTATCATTCTCGTTCTGTTATATTATGCATGGATGATGACGACTCGACGTTGGAAGTATGATAATCTGGTCGTTGACAACCGCGAAAACCGCAAACAATGGCAAGACGAGCTATCCTAGATGAGCTTCGACAATAATACAGCCCAGCGAATTTTTTATAAGTTTTCGATGCAGTGCCAGTGGCGGAAAGTCCTGGTTGTCCTTAGTATTTCCAATTGGAGTCGGTCAGCGAAAAGTAGGAATAAAGGGCTTCACTCGGTTAACGCGTAAGCGATGTCCACACCAGTAAAGTAAGAGAAGTATATTATATAATTTACGAAGAGTCGGTCAAAATTTACATAAACTCATGCCTATAAATATTTATTGATATTTGGTTAAAACACTTTATTTATGCTGATTTTAGATACCGCTTTATTTAGACTTATTTATATGTAAAAATTTACAATGCAGACAGTATATGAGTTTTCTTTATATAAGCTTGCTTTATGAAACGTTCATCACGAGTTTGTAATTATTATTTATCAACGAATTCCTACCAATTTTTCTGGTATGCTACAAGAAGTTTTTGATGACAATGTCATGCACTTAAGCGCCATTTTTATCAAAATACTTTTCTGAACTGGTCTTTTGCAAGTTTTCGTATCCACCTTTCGCCTTTTTTAGCTTATTATAATAACTGAAAATGTAGTCCATTTATGATGAACTTAAATGTAAATTGGTTTTGACACAATGTTTAACTGCTTCTAGTTATCTACAATAGTAGATGCATTGCTTAATTTATTTTCACATGTTGTTGACTCTAGTGCTAAATTTTGAAAATTCTCAACTTGTTGATATATTGCATTATAGGCTGTTTAACATTTTCTACAGAATTTGAAAAATCGTTTGAAGAAATCTCCAATATATTATTAGCTTCAGCTGGTAAGTCATTAGTTTTACTCATTGTGTGTTTGCAAAAGCCATCCCCTGGTTGCAGGTATGTCAAGCCGATTTAAGTATACCCAGTTTCCGCTCGTGTCCATCACTCTGGTAAGATGTTGAGTTAACACCTTTATATACATGATGGATAATGTTAATATCATTTGTCCGATCAACTATCTGTTAGAAGTATACATCTTCATTTGAATGATGAACACTATGTTTTCGTAAATTTTGATGACAGATATGTTCATTTTCATCGTTCCCAGCACCTAACGTCTGTTTTTCTGCAGTAACAGATGGAAATCTGTAAAAATTTCCATTAAAACTTAATCTTATCAACTAATTGAAATCACACATACCCATCATTGTTCAATTCTCGTAATAAAGTACTAGTATTGGGGTGTTGAGTAATCGGTTGGAGAGAGCCTGAAAAATAAAGAATTGCTTGTCACTACGTTTTGAGAGAATATAAATTATTCTGGGGGTATTTTTTTAACGATTAAAATCTTAATTACAGAAAAAAGGGTCCAGTTATCTGAAAACGAATTATTAAATGCGATTAATCAAGATGCATTCAAAAGTTATTTGCTGTTAAACACCAATTGTTTTCGCTATATATAATTTCTGATCGGTGACTAGATAAGCAGGAACAATTTTTAATGAATTTTTCGTAATCATGTTCGTTGAGCCAACTAAATTAGTAACGAGAGAGCGCAATTTTGTGTTAAGTTTGGAAAAAAAGTTACAAATTCAGGCTGAGAAAATTTCAAACAGTAAAAACTGGCAAGTATGAGAAACAACTGTTTTGTGATCACATGATTGAGTTTTTGTCAACAAACCAAAATTTTTTTAAAATGAAAATAATATTGATTCTTTAATAATACATTAACATAAGTTCCCAAATTTTATTTTGTCAAATACATTTACAGGCCTATTCTCAATGTTACCGGTAAAGTAAATTTTTTTTACTCTTTTTTAACACCCGAAATTGAATTTAGTATTCTGGCAAACTGGTTACAATATTTGAAAAAGCTTTGGCAGCACTGCTTTTTTGTCCATGTCAAATTATATTTGCCAGTTGGTTAAGTAAAAAAAGAAGATTATTCACATCGAAAAGAAGACGGTGCACAAAAAAATTTTCGCTGGTAACAAAATTTACAAGGTAACAGTGAGCTCAGAATACGAAATGGTAACAAAATTTACTGAATGGTAAATTTTAATACCTAGGAAAATTTTGTTACCATTTCGTATTTTGAGTTCACTGTCACCCGGTAAATTTTGTTACCAGCGAAATAGGAGGTAACAAAAAGCTCTGCTGTTGCTGTTTTTTGAATAATTTTCTTTTTTACTTTACCAACTGGCAAATGTAATTTGACAAGGACAAAAAAGCAGTGCTGCCGAAGTTTTTTCAAACATTGTAACCAGTTTGCCAGAATACCAAATTCAATTTCGGGTGTTAAAACAAAAGCAAAAAAATTTATTTTACCGGTAACATTAGGAATAGGCCAGTGTTAGAGGATTATTAGAAAAAACATACTGGTATATTTATCGTTTGACTGCTAGAAAGCACATATAATTTCATAATTGCTGAAATACAATAAATCTTGAATGCAAATACTTAGGTAAATACCTAAAAGCAGAAAATATAAATAACCAAATTCATCTTACTTTCTTAATTTCGTTACTGGCTAATTTTTGCTGACAATTTCCAACGAACACACCTACATTCTTACCATTGTTTATAATGCTCTCACGCGCCTTCTCTGAAATTTGTTTTGTGTGCTCCATAGCAATTCGAGATGTATTTTCTATATCGTAGTTAGTGCTTATTAGTTGTGATACATAATTCGGTGTGGGTGGTGGAGTGTTAATATGAGACGACTTCTTTAAATCACTAAAGCATTCTGTAAATGGTACTTATATTTATATAACTACTGTATTTTATTTTAATTTATCTTACTGTTTTCATTCGAATTATTCTCTACTTTGATTGGCACAAAAATATCCCCTTTACTGTCCTCATAACTATCAATTTCTTTTTTTATTCCAACTTTTGACGGAGAATCATTTAAAACTGAAATTTTATTTGTAACGTCGTACATTATTTCTTTCATAATTTTGTTATTAAAATGCGTTCGTAAACCACTGATATTAGAGTTTTCTAGCTGAGTTTTAGCCAAGCTTCGTTCAATATCAGCAATCACAGGCTCCATATTAAATATAAATTTGCTTACAATGCCACTTCTGTTTATATTGTGCAAAGCATGTTCTAATGCATTACCAGTAGCTTTATGTCCTTGTTGTTGTAACCAAAGACGCAGTATAATCATGGTTTTCAGTGAACTTTCCATGTATTCAGCATTTATAATCTCGATGTCGGACTCGGGTACACCCAATTCGTTGGCCAAGCTCATCCAATCACTTCCAATTATATTACATATATCTGACAAACTTACGTCAGCTCTATGTATAGTAGTATCGCCATCGTCCGAGTGAAGTTTCATTACATTTACGTGAGTCAATTCTCGCTCTTTAAAATCCGCTGCCCTGTTCATAATTAAAGAAGTCGTTTTTAGTGTCGTTGATTTGAAACCTGCATTCAATAAATCCTTGTAGTTGAGTCCACGGTCCATTGCTATATTATATATACATTTTTGGCTTCCGTCAAAACGGTTGGAATTTTGCATAAAGTCGCAATTTTCTAATGATATATTCAGTATACAAATTGGTTGTTGTGGTGGTTCACATAATCTGTTTTTCATATCACTCATAAAACTTATTCGACCATAAGGTTCTTCCTGATCTTTGACATATACATTGAATGAGAGACGGTTTTCTCGAAAAGCCTGAAACTTAAGATGAAATTTTTCACCCGATTTTAACACGGGTACTAAATTGCCCGCAAATTCTAAGAAAATATCTTGATCTTCAAGTACTTCGATGTCGCGACTCTTAGCGATTTCTATGAAGTATTTCTGCTGCTCCAAGGTTTTATTTTCTTTGTCGTCGGTCATACAAAACACTGAAAGCTTTGCTTCTGATGTTGAAATTCGTTTGGCGAAAACAACAAATTTTACCATAAATGGAACTTGGGTCATATATGTGTATAGTTCGGTAGCTATTCGACTTGCATCAGAGATGTTTCGACAATCCATTAGCCAGAAACGCGCTGATACTGTTGTAGTAAATGTGACACTATTCTTAACAAAAGCGAAAGGAGTTGAGCCTGTTACATCCTCCCAAACGGCGTGATTTTGACCACCAGTTATTGAACATAACAGACGCATAGTAGGCGCGTTACCCGTATACGGAGAGTTCACCATGCCTTGTGTGGACGCCTTTGGTGCTGGTATACTAAGTGTAATGGCTTTGTGAAATTTGCGACGGCGCGGCTCGACGGTAACTACTGGCGATACGGCCACACCTTGACCGAGAAGCTTGCAGCAACCATTAAGATCAACTGGCTGTGCCTGAAGACCGACACGAATCTTTTTTGTCAGTGCATTTGACGGAAAGATAGCCTGCACCTGCGGCACCGCTTTCGATGAGACGGTGCCACCGTCAGGGCCAATTGCATGTACCTCCTGTCGAATACGTGACACCACAGCAAAGAAATATGGAAACGTGCGCGTCACTATACGCACAATACGGGTAGTGTGCAAGTCTTCCATTGGATTAAGATCCCCATTGTAGGTATCATTTATGATATCGAGCATTACATCATCACTATCATATAAAGTATGTTCCCGCCAGCTATCTCCGTTGTCCGAACGCAAAATTATAATTTCACGTTCCTTATCTCGTAATGATCCGAAATGCGGTACTTCCAAAACAACAGGACTGAAAATTAAAAAAAAATAGCATGATTATTAAATCTGTAATAATTTTAAGCCTCCCAATACAAAACAATTTACCCTAAAAACTTTCCCTCCACCGGAGATAACTGCATTATGCGACTGACTAAGGCTTCTCCTTCCATTAAGGGTGGCGCATTGTGCACCCTTTGCGGCTTCACATATCGGCATGTTATACGAGTTGGCTGTGCGCAAGCTTTCGCCGGAACAATCACGCGAACACCACTATGTCGACAGCCACGCATTGATCCACCACGTGCATCGACCAAAAACGATACCAGAAACCTGTCGTTAAGAAATATATATATATGTATATATATATATATATGTAAGCGAAATGAAATGAACTTATATGACTCATGCACATGCTTACCCCAATTGAATAGGCGCACGAGTTACCGCAAATTTTTTGATCAGCTTTAAAGGATATTGACTGCATGAGGCAAAATACTCTTTAATTAAATTAATAAAAGCATTAAAAAATTAATATAAGAAAATATGAAAGGTGTTGTTGTTCAAAACTTATTCATATACATTATTATATATTTTAGTTGAACGGCGTTTTCAATTTGATCTAAAGTCTACTATGCGATACTAAATTTATGTTTAATTGACACCTTAGCACAGAAAATTTACAAATTATAAAAATTGTAAATAAATTAGGTATTTTGAAGTAGAAGTCTTAAGGCAATTGGGGACCATCCAGTAATCCCTGATACACCATAATATAAAATCAGAGAAGCGACAAAAAAACGATGCTACTATTGTAATTTGCATAGGTATTGCTTACGCGATTAAAACTGTGTCAACCATAGCATGTTCCGACGTTTGACATCAGTTGGAAATACCAAGAGGGATCAGGTGGCTCTTCACATGGTTCTTCCAACGGAGTGGAGGTCTCCCACTTCCTCTTCTTCCATAAGCATGTACTGCATCAGATACTTTCAAAGCTGGAAAGCTTAGCTGTGGTCTCTTCGTTCCCTGAACTGTCTCTATGTCACCGTATAACTCGTACAGCTCTTTATTCCATCATCTGCGGTATTCGCTGTTGTCAATTCGCAAAGAATCATAAATCGTTTACAAAGTTCTCTCTTCAAGCCTCCCAAGTCCTACTTATCGGATGTCGATATCGTCCACTGTTCTGCGTTTAGCAGGACGGAAATAAAAATGACTTTAGTTTTGGTTCGTTGCGAGAAGACTTTACGTTTGAATTGCCGTCTCAGTCCAAAGTAGCACCTACAGGCAAAATCTTATTCTGCTTTGGATTTCAAGGCTGACATTATCATTGATGTTAACGCCGGTCTCTAGATAGACGTAAGTGCGTACTGCTTGTTTGACTATATCTACCGGTTCGTTTTGTCCTCGTTTACTATTAGAACGTTTCGCTTTGAAACAACCGTATAAGAAACTGCCTTATTTATCAGCAACTCCTATTTTTCTCTGCAGCGTCAAGCTTAAGAAATTTCACGATAGGGAGTCACACTGCATGAAAAAACCCTGTTTGACATCAAACAGTTTGGTTTCATTCTTACTGCGCTTCTTGTGTTGTTCAGCGACAGGTCAAATAATCGGGTAATGGAAAATCTTTTAAATCATCATCGATTAGGGTTCGCAATCTCCTGGTGTAGTACATTCACTGCCATTCCACCTTGATTCCTACATGAGTATGACTTTCTCCTAACGGCCAGCTTCTCAAACTCTTCATACTCACGCATTTCGGCCTCTTTATTATTTTATCTGCAAATGCGTCTGGCTTCCCTCTTCAATTCTCCGTATCTATTTCACCCGTATGTGCTGTGGTGGTCGTGGTCAACATATTTCATCCGGCTTTTTATTGCCAACTATAGCGGCGGTGCATAGGGAGTTAAAGACGCAGTTGCACAGTCTCCCTATATCGAACTGGCGATGAGTGCTCCCAGAAATCAGGTGGGCAATTCAAGTAGAAAAGCCATTTGGCTTGTCGCGTACTGGCCGCAACAAAAACTTCTTTTGTGTTTGTATGTTCATTTCCATTGTTTTGCCTAAGCTTCCATTCACTCCAAGCGTTGGCAGTGATATCTGTCGACGAATAGTTGCATTATTTGTAGTGGTATAAGTCTCCAAAAGGAGGTGTTCCCCAAAACGGTTCCTCCACTAAAAAATATTGTGGCAACGGAATGCTTTGCGCGAGAAATCCGTAAAAAGGGGTGTCGCCTTTTTCTTTAATGCGACGAGGGGAAAAATTATCCCAGTGTACTTGGTGTGCCATGGTGGCGTGCGCTATACAACCCGGTCCCTTTGGGTAATGGGTGCGGCGCCAAATAGTTGGGCACCAATACACACTCGCAGGAGAATTTTGAAGACCGACGCGTAGCTTGCGGCCACACCCAGAGCCCAGTCATACAGGCGGGTTATAGTTACCCCCGGCAGCACGGGAGTAGTGCGAGTGGGTTCGTAACCAGTTAGGTTGGACCACACCTCGGGTGCACCCCAAAAAAATTCTTTATTCATTTCGTGTTTATACACACCATTTTGATCTGTAATCAAATTATTTTTGTCCTGCAATTTTTGTTTTTCGCGTTAGAAAGCTTCGCTTAGTATTGTTTTCTTTGCAAGTAGTTTTGTTGTTGTGCGTAGCTAGCGACCCACGCCGTCTTCACTAAGCTGGCCGGTCGCTTTGTTATTTTTTTGTCATCTCCTTTTTGTGCGGTAGTTTGTTTTGACGTGTGTGGTTGTTGGTAGGCGCTTGACCAACAGCCACTATAGGTATACATATGTATGTGCGTATGTACATGTCAAAGTAAGGTCAGAGATTTCTTCCCTGCCTATAATTAAATGTGTAAATAAATATGTGTAAATCACAAGATGTACATAAGCACGTATGTAGTTTGTAACGTAACAATCGGAAATTACAATATTTGTATGCTACCCTACGACGACCTAATAAATATATATAACATATAACGACTCGCATACATACGTACTCGCACACAAACAGACGACCGCTAAATACGACGCATATACATACGCCTAAACAAATCATAACGACACAACCGACATATATATACAAACATAACAACGACTTAATATATACGAGTATACCGAATGTTGGTGGAGAACCGTTTTCTACTCTGCTACTAAAGCCGTATTAGTAGCAGGATCTAATCCTACCGTGAGATTATCAGACTGCACTTCTAGCTGATAATAACTACACGATGCACTGTCACGCTGTCAATGAATGCCCGCGGCAAAGGCTATACAAAAAGTGCTTTGCCAGCATTAAGCTCATTTCGAGGACAACCGGAGCGAGGAGCAGACAGGCAAGAAGTAAGAGTAGCAGTTAATTTTAACTACTTTATTAATAACTATATAACGTTATTTAGTATTCCTTCCTATAGCCTTCTCTGCTATCTGTTAGATTTGCAGCTTCGAGGTGGAGTCGCCAATCCCTCCATTCTTAGTTCCTATTGCCACCTCTGTTCTTATAGCCTTGCAGCTTTGAGACAGAGATTGCAATTTATTCCTCCTTCATACGTGGCATGACATGAGCTTCGCTTCTGCGTTCCGGACCTTTCGCGTCGTTTCTATAACGACGCCCACGAGACCGTTGCATAACAACCGAACAGTTAGGTTTTTGAGACACATGGATACGCCACAAAAGTGAGTGAGCTGACGTTGCACAGACGTTGGGAGAGTTATGACGCATCAATCCAAGTGCACGAACTGACCGACCATTGGGTTAGAGGGTACCATTGACGGACTATGAAGCCGCTTGTATGCCACAGTAAGGACAAAAACCCCACGTTACAACTTCATTAGTTATGTTCGCTTAATTACTTGTGGTACTTAAGGGGGTTTTCTTTACTACTCAACCTGCCTTAGTATTTTGAAAATCTGGCATTTTTCTGCGGCACTTAAGTATATTTCACTGTAACAGACTGCCTACCTCGCAACCCTGTTATCAACCACATACGGGGTGGGATGGATGTCGAGAGCTGAAGAGAGAAGCAACATGCATTTGCGTGAGTACGAAGAGCTTGAAAAGCTGGCCGACAAGGGTAATGCTCGAAAATTTTATGAAAAGATACGGCAACTTACGGAACGTTTCAAGACCGGAGTAAGATCTTGTAGAACCCAGAGGCGTGATCTAGTGACGGATGGCTAGAGTTTACTGAATTTATGGAGGGAACATTTCTCCAACCTGGTAATTGGTAGTGAAAATGAAACACCCGGAGATTGTGAACCCGAGAGCTCAATCAATGGCGACGGAAAAGACGTTCCGTTACCTGACCATGTCGAAGTTCGGATAGCGATAGCACGCTTAAAAAATAACAAAGCGTTAGTAACATGGTGGTATAGAGCTGACAAGATGTATGCGACAGTCCCATGAAAGCATGCCCGACAACTCGACGATGGGAGCGGGTTGTATAGCGCACGCCACCATGGCACACCAAATACACTGGGATAATTTCTTCCCTCGCCGCATTAAAGAAAAAGGCGAATCCCCTTTTTACGGAATTCCCGCGCAAAGCATTCCGTTGCCCTCATATTTGTTAGTGGAGGAACCGATTTGGGGAACACCTCCTTTAGGAGACTTACACCACTGGGTAAGCACACACCGAAAGCAACCGTGCCATCAATCCATGGCTTCAAATAATGTAACTAACTATTCGCCGACAGATGTCACTGCCACCGCTTGGAGTGAAAGGAAGCTTAGGCAACACAAAGGAAGTGAACAAACAAACACAAAAGAAGTTTTTGTTGCGGCCAGTACGCGACAAAATCTTGATAATCCTTATGTAAGTGTGCAAAATATTGTTCGAAAGTAAAAACCTACAAATCTGTTGGAAATAGACAAAGATCCAGACTTCCGAGGAAGCTATCCTGGCGAGGTATTCGTTTTATCACCAAGAAAGTGACAAAAAAAATCTTAAAATAACTGCTCCAAATATAGCCAACAGCATCGCTAAAATATTGGGTAAAACTGTACACCCAAACCCAAACGCTTGACCAACAGCCACTGTAGGTATACATATGTATGTACGTATGTACATGCGCACATACATATTGTAATAATAAAAAGTGGAGGTGACAGGCCGTTTGTTATGATTGCAGATTTCGACGTAAGATCTTAATTTTATTTGCAGATAGGCGTTCCTTGATACACACAGGCAGGAGAGTATCTTCGCTTCGACAAGATATTGATCCGAATCGATCTAAGGCATCTGAGCGGTTACACACACTGAATTCATGTGCTCCGTCAATTACAACATTATTAGCTTATTTCTGCCGTTTCGGATTCGGCGACAGTATGTAGCTTGACGGATTTTCTTGCGAGGAAATATGTTACTTAAGACTGGGCCGACGAAATCAATCAGCCTCAGCCCGTTTGAGGATATTGTAAGGACCCCAAAATCCGAGGCTTTTGGAGACCTCACAACATCCATAAACTTATTTAAAAATATATTGAATT